GGGCGACCACCCCCTCCACCACTTACTGAATCCGTGCCTGGGAGGTTGTGGCGATCTCTTTAAATTTGAATATCACCATTGACCAAGGTTGTTCACTCATGGTATTATAAGTTACAAATATTATAGGTGAATATAAAATGATGAAAACTACCATGGAGGTCTGGAGTAATGGATACTGTTTTAGAGGTCAATATACAGATAGAATAAGTAATAGTAGTACACAATAGAAATGTTCGGTGCTTCACATGGCTATACTACATTATGTCATGTATGTGTGTGAGGTTATAAGGTGCTACGTATAACAATACCTAATGGCTTATTTTATAATAGGGATTAAGCCTCTTGAGTATGTTAATATTATATTTAAAGCTGTATGTTATTATAAAATCATCAACTCAGGTTTTTACATCACTTTTCTAATATGCGTATTTTTTTTTTTATCAGCGAGTAATTTTTTCTCACGAGAGTTCGGAAAACGGATACACCATATCGGTGTACCTATATTGCCGAATCATGACGCCGTGTTATCTAGGTTTTATTACTTACTGACATTTTTAAGAACATTAAACCTGTAAAATGCACATATTATCTTCTTGTTATACTGTTCATCGTTGCGTAATGTACACTATATCATCAAATATTACGTTTATACTATATAATAGATACTTGGTTAGTTGAAAACATAGTATTATAATACTATTATTATTTATAAATTATAGTTTCTTCAGCCAACGTTGTAATCGAAGAGTCGACTTTTACGAATGAAATATTATTATTAATCCATAGCATTGTAGTTGTTATTATAAAATATTCAATATTGAAATACAAATAAACTCAAATAAGACTTAGTTTACCGTATAACAATGTTACATGGATTAAAATGTAATTTGATTGGTATGTGTCCAATGAGATTCTTGACTTAAATTTGTAAAATATGTAAAATCGTATAAAATTGTAATTAAAAAAAAAAAGTACAAGTTAGTTAAATGTATTATAGTAATTTTAATTATAACTGTTCGTGCAGTCACTAAACTTCAGAAGGTCATATTTAAAAAAAAAATAATCATCCAAAACTAAATTGATGAATCTACCATCAACGTTTTAAAAAGAAAAAATGTACCATCAGAACCATTAGCAAATATAATCATGACTATTTAACAAAACTTAGTTTCTGCTGTTTTCACAAATGCATAATGCTAAATATTTTAAAATTGCCATACAAATATAAATTTATAAAATTAAAAATAATATGTGGTAATGAATTTATTTATATTATCATTTTAAATATTATAATAACAAAGGATTACAGTGTAATGAAGAATTATTTGAATACGTAGTGACTAGGTATTCAAGTACGAGTACCAAGGTAATCATTTTMAATTCTGAGCGGAGCGATGAGTGTATTTTAATTTCATGATATCATGACATAATAAATTGTGCTGTATGCTTATTATAATACAGACAGCCTGCAGAATTATCTTGGAGTGATACATAATTAAATGTTCAATATAATAAGTAATGCAATTTATATAATATTACTGTTAAACCCATTATAAATTTAGCTTTGTGGAACTTTCTGTATATATATTAATATTATAATTCATTACTTTTTATTTTTATTCAAAATGATTTTATTACACCATAATAAATATTACCGTAAGAACATATGAATAATCATTTGAAAAAAAATAATGTTGTACATTCACGCTCAAAATTTTATAAACCTTCGCTATAATATTGTAGATATATAAATAACCATATTTTACGTAAATGTGTTAATTATGGAGCAAGTTATGTGTATGATAAGAGTGTTTTATTGGAAATTATACTATAAATGTCAAACGTGATATCTCCTAGTAAATAATGGTTTATATTAGTTTTTAGATTTAGTGTATGATAAATTATGATTTAAAAAAAAAAAAATATATGTTGAAAATAAATCATGATTTACTTTTTTTTCATTAGGTAATTATCTTATTAATATCAACAAAATATAGTATATGAGTGTATTATATATTATTGAACTAAAATTTATGAAATAACATTCTGATTCTAATTATTTATTTATTTCAGAATGCAACTTTGTTTTAAATAGTAGATATACCTTAAAAAAAAAATATTCGGAAGTTAGTAGATACTACAATTATTTTGCATTTAAAAAAGTTTACTGCCATGCGATTGCCGGTATCCAGTATCCACATAGTATCAGAATATAAAATTGATTTACGAACACCATTTCATTATCTATTCATAACATGATTACCTACAAGCTCTCTTAGATACATTTATATGTATTATGTATTTAATGTATACATTAATAATAGATTATTTCTCGTTATGTTTTTAATAATAATAAATACATTTTTATAATGATGTGGATGAAAAAATTCCAAATCTAGTCTTAATAGATTAAACATTATATACTTAAAAATGAATCAAACATTACAAACGTTAGGTTCAAAATGCAGTTAATGACATCACAAATAAGATATTTTTTTATAAAAATAAGACATCAACAAAGAGGAAATTATATAAAAGTTAAATTGAATTTTTATTACAAATTTTCAATTAACGTGTGGTAAAATAAAAACTACCTACGGATCAGTTTGTGGTAACCCACTTTTATTCTGTGATTAATAAAATCTACTGTTTAGAGGTTTTATTTAAAATTAGCCACTTTTGAGAACTGACCATTATTTAAGGTTCTATTGTAATGAGCTGAAATTCATATTGTCATCAATATATAGTTTTTTTGACTGCTGATATTTTCAACACTCATAATACTCTTTTTATAAAATAATCGAAATTATATTATTTATTTTAGATATAAAAAAATTAAAACAATTTTACTGTTGAAAATAATAAAAAATAAGAATGCTATAAATCTTATATCAACAACGCTGACAGTTTAGTTTCATCTATACCAAAACAAATACGTTAGGATTAAAATTGCGTTTTATAATCTTATAGTTTTTTAGTTAATCTTATAGTCTTTTTCCAAAAGGATTTGGAAGAATTTGGAATATTAATTAATTTATTTTATTTTATAATATAAGATA